GGGGGGGAACTCTTCAAAGTCTGTCATATCATTGGAGCAGGGCCTAGGCCCTCCCCCATGTGTGTAGGCTGAGAGAGTATCCCTCTATGTGGGGTGGGCTCCCAAAGTCCATTTGTATACTAGGGATAAATACTGATTCACTGCCAGAGGCCCCCATAGATTGCCCAGGCCTCCTAACTGATACCCATGTTCAGGGGGTCTGGGTTGGTCCTATGCTGGTTTCCCAGCTATCAGTCTGTGGTCCATGAATTCCTGCTTGTTCAGGACAGCTATTTCCATGGGTTTCTCCAGCCTGGTCTTGACTGATGGTTCTCAATGTGTTACAGGTTTTCTTTCTGATGAATCTAGAAGAGAACGATTCCAGGAGCGCTCACTTGGTAAGTGGTCTGTTTCCTTCTGTGGGATGCCACTAGAAACTTTGCTCATCAGCCAGACCCACACTGAAGCCATTGCACCAAGGACAGACCATGAAATAGGAAATCATTTCCACAAACAAGAACACTAATCTATAAACTTGCTTTGTAAAGCAGGAGAAGGTAACTTGGAGGCATTAGCACACATAAAAGTTACCAAAAATCAAATGTTAAGTCAACTTGGGAAGTCATTACTGGCCTTTCTTCTTGTCCCACCCTGAGAATTTTCTGGACCACCTTCCCTCTGATTATCTCCTTTCTTTGCCAGACTTAACCAGACTTCTCAGTGAACAGAAGAGACTGGACCCATAGTCCTTTCCTGTACAGTCAGTTTCCTTATTCAGTCTTCTGGGTGGCTCTGTCAGCCCTGTGTTCTCCACTTCAACCCAGAAGAGCTGAGTATTGAAAACACTTGGTGTTAATTGGCAAACACAGTACATACCCCACACTTACTGCTTACCAGGACTTCCCCCTTTGTCTCTCACAAGCAGGCTGTGGCTGCACTGTGTTCTCACCCTTTCTGGGGGCTTTGGGAAGGTACTTTGCTCTATGTCTGTACATCTTTTTCCATTCAGTGGTCCCAACATCTCTACAGGCAGGAGGGGTAAAGTTTCCTTGTAAGAGGGTTCCGTATTTATACACACTTATCCCCCCTGCATATATTATCTGAGTTATAGGGTCCGGTGTGTGACAGTGTTCCCCTTGAAGAGTCAACCTCATCTATGTAGTTGGGTTTGTTGTCCCCAGCCATGTGACATGCACAGAAGCCAGGACTTTGAACCAACCTATCTATCTTCCAGGCCTGTGCATTTTCCACACTTCTTTCTAGCACTGTGAAATTCATGCTGTCCAGAGCCCTGTTACAGTAAATGGCATTGATATTCACACATTAGGGAGCTCTATTTCTCATCTTCATGCTCCAATTGATCCTGAGTGCTAGAAATTAAACTGGAAACTTAAGTTTTTAACCCACCCCTAAGGTTTGTCTCTGGGAGAACATACACAGAGAGAGAGAGGGGGAGGGAGAGAGAGAGAGAGAGAGAGAGAGAGAGAGAGAGAGAGAGAGAGAGAGAGAAGGCATAGTCAATAGTCATGACTACCGCTTAAGTGTTCTTTTGGACATTTCCTGCAGAATTGCCTTCAGAATCCACAGCCTAGTCCTTGAATGTCTGCCACAGTAGGAACTGATAGTTCTTGGGATTTAATTCTGGAAATGGTGGAAAGCAGGAAATAAATCTGATGAATCAGATGGATAATCTATGTGGGGGTTTTACTACCAATTGCTACTGCTACATATCAACAAATTCCCAAATCATGCATCTCTGCCAGAAACTGTGATTATCTTGTAGTTTCTGGGGTTAAGAACACGGGAGCAGCTTAGTTGGGTGTCTCTGCATCAGGTAGATAGGCTGTTGATGGGCGTTCTCCAGCTGCTGTTGACTGGTTGACTGGGGCCAAAAGATTGGTATCCAAGGTCCTGACTCGGTTGTTGAAAGGTCTCCGGGTCCCCATGGGCTTTGAACTGAAAACTAGTTTCTTTCTACCTGGGTATCTCGATAGGGATGTGTGAGTGTCCCTAAAACATTTCAGATTTCCCCGGTGATGAGAAAGAGGAAGAGAGAGATAGGGAGATGGAGATAGAGAACATTGGAGGACCAAAAAGAGACAGAGACTGAGAGACCCAGAGACAGAAAGAGATAGATACTTAGACACACACACACACACACACACACACACACACACACACACACACACACACACACACGAAGGGGGTTGATGCAGAGAGAGAACAAGAGATGAAAAATATAGTAGAGATGTAAATTCATGTGACCAGTCCTCTTGTGTGTGTCAGAAGGCATCTCCAAGCCAACACTTAAACACATTTGGGCCTTGGAGCATCATTAATGCAGATGTACAGCTGTCTCAAAGATGCCTTTGAACATAATGATTTAATTTAATTCCACAAATGTGTGTGACAAGCATGGGGCAGCTTCCATGGAGGACTTAAAGAGAAATGTGACAGTTCCTGCCCTTGAGGGCTTGCAGTTGAGGCTGAAGGTGCCACGTGGGCTAAAGAGTGAGAAGTCAGCTCTGGGTGCAGCTGTGACATGAGAGAGCCTGAGGCCTGATGAGGAAGACAAGAGATGGTGCCTTGGGTGTTCTGTGGGCAGTGAGGGCTCTGGTTATGCTTGGCTTGTTCTCAATAATTTATGCCTGACCGAGCCTCTGCTTCTCCCATCCATCTTTAGAGACAGTGAGAAGGGGGCATCCTCCTGCACATAGAAGGTTCCAGAACCTTCAACACAGAGCAAGAATAAATTCTGGCTTTGAGTGACATCCTGGAGGTAAGGGACAACACTTACATTATGATCCTTTAGAAGCAGAAGGAACTTGGAATAAATGCTATGGTTTTGCAGGGGTCCAGCTCTCCTACCCGTGCTCTTTAGTGCCCACTCTGGCTTTCTGTTGCCTCCTGCCTCTCCAGCCACTGTGCTCCCATCTCGTGGACCCCCATCTTTCCCCCATGGCATCTGCTGTTACTGACATGATCCAGTCTCTCCACTTTACAAACCACAAAGAGAATAGCCCCACTTTCCCCAGCCTTCCTCCCAACCCTTCCTTCCTTCTTTCCTTCCTTCCTTCCTTCCTTCCTTCCTTCCTTCCTTCCTTCCATTCTTCCTTCCTGGGAGGCTCCATAACATTTTTATGGAATCCTCTTTGGCTTCCCTTTCTTTGTCGTTTCAACACTGCTGGCCACTTGTGCTCTCTCAGCCCAGTTCTTTCTCTCTTCTATAGATTACCCGGTTATCTCTTCCTCTTACTTGTCCATCACTGTCATTGATGTATAGGCTATTCTTCAAATGTATCACCCTCTCCAAGATCTGGTTCCTTATGTCAACTGCCTGCTGGAGGCATTGGCCATGGGTACACTGTGAGGTCCAGAGTTCTGCTAGCCTTTCTTGTGATGCCATTGCTACCCACCTAATTTTCCCAACTTAAAGATCTGGGGAGCATCACTGAACATTCTCTTCTGTCCTTCCTCATCTCCTGCTATCTGTGAGATGCAAGGTTGCTTGTTGTATGGACACATTTGCCTGACTTCAGCCTGCCCTTTCCTCCCTTCACTACTGATGAACTGATTGCATTCCAGCCCCAGGGCTTCATCTCACACTGCCTGTCTTGCCTGCTGTCCTTGGGTTTATTCTGAAAGTTAAGGAGACCTTGATCTTCCACAGTTGTCCTCTGATGCTGGCTTCACTTACAGGCTAAAGCAAAGATGTGAAAAATCCAGACACTGAGAAAAACAGAACAATGGCTTTTATATTCTCCCTGGTGCTTTGGGGGAACTGCAGACTGAGCCCTGGTCTACCAACCTGTCACCCAGCCTGGTGGAGTCTTCTCACCAATATTCACATTCTCAATCAGCAGGCATGAGAGCAAGAGGAATAAGTATTCTGAAAACTCACAAGTATCACAGGGGACTCCAAGAAGGATGCAGTGAAAAGAAAACTTAAGCTACAATTGCAATGGCCAGACAGATGGCTCAGTGGTTAAGAGTGCTTGCTGCTCTTTGCAGAGAACATGGTTTCCAGAACCTACATTGTGGTTTACAACCATGTGTAACTCCAGTTCCAGGGGATCCAGCCCCCTGTTCTGACTTCTGTGGACACCAAGGATGCATGCAGTACATATACATGCAGGCAGGTATTCATACATATAAAATAAATAAGTCTTAAAAAGTTAAAAATAGGGGGCTGGAGAGATGGCTCAGAGGTTAAGAGCACTGACTGCTCTTCCAGAGGTCCTGAGTTCAATTCCCAGCAACCACTTGGTGGCTCACAACCATCCATTATGAGATCTTGTGCCCTCTTCAGACCTGCAGGCATACATGCAGGCAGAACATTGTATACATAATAAATAAAAATTCATTAAAAATTCTTAAAAAAATTAAAAATAATAAAAAGTTGGAATTACAGGCATAGATTCCAGGGCAGCCATGTTTATAGGAGCACGCATAAATTACTAACAAAGTCTTAGCATTGGTGCACTTTAAATTTTGAAGGAAATTATTTATCTAATTTATGTGGATGAACGCTTGCCTGCATGTGTGCATATGCACCATGTGTGTGTCTGGTGCCCTCAAGTGCCAGGAACTGACCCTGGGTTTCCTGCAAGAGCAGCAAACGCTCTTAACTGCTGGGCCATCTCTGCAGTTCTCTGCTCACCTTATAGTGTGTACAACACTGCATACTTTCAGTCATGATCTGAATGCCCCAATGGTTCACAACAGCCTTGCTGCTTCGGCTCTACACACACCACTGGCTTTGTCCTGCCCACACCCACCATGCCCCTGAGCTCCCATGGTGTCTAGGTTCAGTTCCCAGCCCTGGAACGGTAGTTCACAATCATCTGTAACTCTAGTTCCAGGGGATCCAATACCCTCTTCTGGACTCTGAGGACACGAGGCATGCACATGGTGCACATACATACATGCAGGCAAACACTCTCAAGCTTGCTGTCCCAGGGCCCTGTGCTCAGTCCATGACACTGGGCACGTCCATGCTCAGTCAGTGTCTTTTGAGCTGGTGCTGGGATCTTTGACATTGGGTTCTTGAGAGACTGTTGCCTAAAAGGCAGCTAAGTGTGGCACAATTAATTTTAACAACTTACAGTTTGAAAGAAGTCAACTGACATTTTACTAAAATAGAGAGAAAATTCACTGTGTATGAAAGATGCAAGAGGCAGATTTTCTTTTTAATCTAAAAATAGAAGCCGTCTTCTTACTGAGATCAAGAAACTATTCATTATGAAGAAAGAGACTCATGGTATTTTTTACATATATGCAAAAACTGCCCCGGTAGAACATCTGGAGCCAGGGCAGGGGTGTGAGGGTAGAGTTGTCAGTGGGTCGGCTGTGCTTTGTTAACGATATGATTACCTCGAGTGTGCATGCATGAGTGTTTCGCAATATAGTTGCATCATCTAACATCTGCAGAGACATGAATCACCCCCAAACACATGTCTTTAAATGCAGCCCAGACCGAAGACCACATGCAGCAGCCTTGGCCTGTACATTGATTCTTGCTGGTGTCCCAGTTAAATCTATGCCCTCGTGTGACCTTTAGCAGGGCAGGTTTTGAAACAGCCCACCACGTTGCCTTGAGTCATAAAATGAAGTTAGTAATGGTCACAGAATAGGTCTAGTGAGGAGGCAGCCCCAGTGTGCTCTGGGATCAGCTGGCCTCTTTCTAACTCTGCACCATGGTCTCCGATAGGCATCCATCCCTGAGAGCAGGACTCAGCACCTCCAAGCTCCGCCTCAGCACCACTTCTCAGGCTTCGTTTCTTCCCATTAGACGGTGGACTCTTGGCAGGTGCCTTACCTGGCAATCCTTATTGTTTCAGTTCAGTGACTAGTGAAGACATCCCTAATGTCTACATAAAATTATTTATAAAAATATCGCTTATTAACTTCATTGGAAAACCCGGATAGGATGAGTGGATGGCTGACCATTAGTGAGAGTACTATTTTAAAATTGTGAATCACACTTTTCCCACTTTATCACAAGCCTGCCCCAGTCCCTGGATTAAAATAGAAGCTGTGAAAATGTGTCTATAGCTTAGTAAATACTGTTCTGGCTTCTTTAAGGTTGCCAGAAATGATTTAATCCATGAGTGGAGAGTGAAACGTACTATCTAATATAAGAGCCATGACGTTGTTTGTTAGTGGGACTCTACAATTAGGAAGTTTAGAAAACCAGGCCCCAACTCTCATGTTGAAAAGGGTCTGCTTGAGAGTCCTACACTTTCTTAATCTTTGTATCAGGACAGTTCTGTCTTGTCAACTGTGGAGTGGCCAGAAGGATCAGATCTGGGGCATTTTTCTTTATGCTGTCCATAGGATTGTTGATTTGTACCCAAGAGCAGAGGCAGAGGTAGGTCTGATGGGTTTTTCATAAGCCAATAGTGAAAAGATCAATCCCATGGTTTTCCCACTCATTCCTACGGCCACTGTTATCAAAGTCTCCCCTCTGCATCCAGCCACTGCGCCCAGGAAGACCACCACTCTCAATGTGTTTACTCCCTTCACACATTGCCTATGCCAATTATATGGCGATCATCCGTTTCTTAGAGAAGGGGGCAAGGTGTTCAGAGAGGCCCTGCTTGCACAGATGTTGTAGGGATTGGGGGTTATCTTCTCATGTCTGCTTCCTACACCTCTGTTTTTTTCTTGTGATGCATCTCTACATGAAACTTCAGTGGTTGAGATCCGTTTATCAAGTGCTGAGAGGCCCTGTATGTGTTCTTGCCAACTAGCCATAACTTTGCAAGTGTGAGCAGCGTACCTACCACCAACAACCAGGTGGGGGCACTGTCCCCTAACACCTGAGGCACCCTGGGCTCTTGGGGAGTGATTTCATTGTTCAGGTTTCAGACTCCTTAGTGAGAATTTCTTGTTATGATATCCAGAACATATTCACCCACCGAAGGGAGCCAGAACCCACAAGAAGCTGTATTTTGGGGGGACCCACTGGGGCCCAAGAAGCAATAACCTGACCACTCTCCACTTTCCCCTGACTTTTATTCCTGCACACTGAATCTCTTAATAATTGCCTTACCAGGTATAGTGAGCTCCCCCCATCTGCATTAGTTACACAAGTGGGAAGAAACATAAGGTTATGTGCCTTGGAGGTGTGTTCCTGACATGCAACATTGTTTCGTGTGTGTTTTGGATTAGAGATCTTATTGAATGTATTTTGTTGATTCTTCATTTTTTTAAAACATTAAATGCATACCCAATGTGTTAGGCTAGAGAAGAGCACATCCAATCCGAGCCTGGTGGTGCAGGGCAGTGATCCCAGCTACACAAGAGGCTGAGGCAGGAGGATCACAAGTTCAAGACCTTCTGAGTTTACAGGGTGTATTAAAGTCACCATGCGCAACTTACTGGGTCCTTTTCTCAGAATAAAAAAAAATAACCATCAGAAAGGCTATGGCTGACTTATGATTGTGGCCAAGTGGTTAAGATGATGGACTCTGGACCATTAGGGTCTTCTAATGGCAAGTTCATGTCCTGCACAGAAAGGCTATGACTGTAGCTTAGTGGTAGAATTTTTGCATAGCATCTGAGAGAGACCAGGATTCAGGCACCAACATGTAACACATCACACACAAAAAAAACTGTAGAACATATAGGCTTGCCCATAAAGTCTGCCCCAGCCTTCTTGGACTTAATACTAGTACACCACACTGCACTGGCAAGACATTTTAAACAGTAACTTATCAACACAAAGCTAAAACATGAGGGGAAATCCACAATAGCAAATAAATGTTTAAAAAAAGA